GAGCGCGTGCTCGCGATTCTCGGGCACGCGACTCGCATTCGTATCCAGAGGTATTTTAAAGCGATCCTGAAATCCGACCGGTCGTTGTCATCGATAAGAACGAGGTGGCCGCGCATCAGGAATCGCACGCACGTACCGGGAATAAAGTTCAAGGTAGAAGTGGCGTACCCACGTGTGAGCTCCGGGAGAAAATCCTTTTGCCGGAGAACGAGGGCAAGGGAAGATAGGACGGACACCGATGACGCTCGCATCGGTGTACCTTTCCTTTCCCAATTTTACCTGCGGAATTATATGTGCGCGATCGTTTGCTCCGCTGCGAGCTAACGCTATGTTCACAATTACGAGGAGAAAGGGTGTCGAGGGGTTGGTGATGTCGCGGTCGGGCTATCTTCTCTCCGAGAGGAGAATTAGAACGTCGGTAGATAGGGTGGAATTGGTTGGAGGGAGAGGAAGAGGGAAACAAAAGGAAGAGAGGAAAGAAGGGCAAAGAGGCGGGCGAAACGGAAACGATGGTGGGGATAGTCGAAGGGGATGGAGAAAGAGAGCAGTCCTTTGAGTTAGCAAGCTGATCCTCTGGCTCATCCTATAACAAAACAAAGGGATCAAAGTGGTGGATGCGACGATAGGAGGCTTTTACACCCTCCCTCAAGCCCCGGTCGGCTCGCTGGCTATACCTCGTTTGTCTTGTAGTTTGTTCGGAATTTTACAGCAAACACAATCGTGACGCTATAACAAACAGCGAGAAGGGTGGTAGATTAAGGGGTGAAGGGAAGAGTTTCCACTTTTTCTTTGTTAGCCTCCTGAATGCACGCGCGTTCGCGAATACGCGAGTGTACGGAGAATCTCTGTTTTTTAATGGCGATTCTCGTTACCTACGAATTTGATCTATCACCGGAAATTCCGACTGACGCGCGCTTTGATCCTCGATGCGGGCAATTCTGTCGCGATTCACCGCATCGATGGGATCCATGCGTCGTGATCTCGTGCGTCGTGTTGAACCGACTCATCGTTTATCGTGGAAAAATATAAAAATACTCGAGCGCCTATTGTACCACGCATCCATGTTTTATCCGCTGCCGAACAATTTTCGAGAGGATGTTTTCGAGCCTCGATGAATTGTCACTTTTTTACATTCTGGATTTGAAATCTACACACGTAGATAGTTTGTTTTACATAAATACACCTCGTGCGATCTGACACGTTGCAATTGAAATATTATCGATAGTCGAAGCTCTAGTTGATGAGATCTCTAGAACTAAAGCATTCTTTAACGTTTCTGTTTAACGATCAATCCGCAACTATCCGTCTTTGAAACTATACGTGACTTCAACTTTGTTGTTCGTTACGCTGTCGAGAGCTTAAGTACTTGGGATGTCGATTGTTGGAAGCTCGATTGCTTTTGACTCCGCGCAATGTATTATGTTTCACGACTGATTGGTAACCGATAGGCCAACCAAACTGCTAACTAGCCACTACCTTTGGAAGATATCTCGACCTCCTCCCCTTCGCTAACCGCGTCTTTTTCAGATACCTAGCGTATCCGATGACGGACAGAACTTTAGCTATAGCATCCCCGAAATTTAGAAATTTACAACGAAACATACTATGTTTCTGAAATTTAGTCGAACGTTCGATTTCGATGTTTCGCTTTTCCTAAACGCGACAGCAATCACGGAAAGCGACCGCCTAGCATCGAAAATCAATTTCCTAAACAACACAATTCGATCGATCCGAGCGTTTCCGAAATCCACCGTTGGCTCTCTCCGCCACCCTGAAACGTACGTTATCTATGATTGCACGAAATTGGTGTTCGCCGTTTAAAATCCTGCTAGACGTTATCCACGGATAAGTAATCCGGCCAGGAGATTCGAACAGGACGCAGTTGCGCTGTAATCGATAATTCCTTACAGGGGGATGGCTGGTTTATAGGTGCACTCGAGCCATCTAAATTGCGTAGAGATTAGGTGCTCGGAAACCCGTATCCAGGATCCCGTCGGTCGACGGTGCGAGCGGAAGCTGGAGCTGAAGAGGCGGAAAGGGGCAGAGGAAGTGGAAAAGGAGGAAACTCGAAGGTTCGAGGGGAACTCTGCCACCCTCTCCTCTCTTCCACGGGTTATAATGGCAAGATGGAAGGTCGTACGGGGTCCAAGGCTGGGTAGGAAATTTGCAAATTTTCACGACAGGGCACGGATAATTTCCGGTTGGCTCGGTGGTTTCCGTACTTGACAAATGACTGTGGTTTCCGGTTATCGGCTGCGACGACCACCATCCCTCTTGCATTCCGAATTAGCGAGAATGTCTGTTGCCCTTTAGGAGAGGCGATACTCTTTTCCACGTTCGGTCCACGATTACCTACTCTTCTCCTTTGCATTTCTATGGATCGCCATTTCCTCGAAGATATTTACTTCCCGAGTGAAACGTTTTTTCGTGTTATTTGTTCCTTCGTGGTTTCCAATGCTTTAAATATTCCAATCTTTTTCTTTGAGATTTGTTGCAAATCATTAGATTTAAAAAAATGTGTTTTCTCGAGCTATACGGTGTTTGGCAAAAGATAGCGTTCAATTTTATGTCAGTATGGATTTGTTAGATCGATCAGGTTTCAACGCGATTTTTGCGACAGGAACGTTCTTTTTAACGAATAAAAGGTTTCGTAGAAGACAAATATTTCGCTGCATAAACGATGAAGCAGCAACATTTATCTCATTCGATCGTAATATAAAATGGTAAATTGTCTCTTCAGGAGCAGGCAATACGCGTAGACTGGAAAATGGATTTTCTGTCGAAATTTTAAGGCAATTTTGAATCGCCTTTACCACGGCCGTTTAATAACATAAATCTTCGCCGATGACGCAAACATATCGCGTTTCGAAGACTCGGTGGATCGTTTCGACGAACGAGACTGCCGATTCAATCGCTCTCATAACTCAAACAGCCGTGCAACGCGGCCCGCGATTTCCATTAATTTCTAATATTACTGTACCTTTTATCGGCTCGTACAGCTGCTCTACTTATTCTATTTTTAACCTTTTCATTGTTATGGAACGAAATGGTCGTTCCATAGCCCGCTCAATAAATCCATTCGTTAGCTATAGACACCGATAGATTTCAACGTGTATTTAACGCGATTTTTAGCGCCTTTACTTAACTCAATATCGTAGCAATCGACGAATCGACATAACATAACATTGATAACATAAAGTCGTTTCGCGTCCTACTGTCTTATTTCGCGATCAAACCTGCATTTCCATAATGTTGTACGAAAACGAAAAGGGACTTTTCGCTTTTAAAATATCGTCTGTTTTCTGCAATATCGTCAGAATGGGCTATCTTCGAAGCATCTCTCTCGATACATCGTACAAATTAACTACTTCGTAGCTTTTATACATTACAAATGTAATCGAGACTTTATCTTACAATCGATCGTTCCTCGCGCTTGAAAATTCAATTTTCTGCTCTTTATTTGCGCGATAACACGGTTATCTTGCCAACGCACTCCTCTCCATTTCATCCAACAGAAAATGAGAAGAAAAACAGAATAACTGTGGAATTATCATCACATTCTGTATACAGTTTCGTGTTTCTAATTTGATATTAATCTAACTTCTAATTTCTCTAACGAACAAAGAACACGTTAATGCGCTTAATTGGCAAGAAACTCAACAGGTAACGGATGCGTTTAACAAAGGAAACCCGAGTCTTCGTAAATTACGATACGTAAGAGTGTCAAGCCAGTCTCACAGTTTTGACAGGAGTTTAGAAAGCACGCCAAGTCTCTGAATATGTAAATTACGTTGATGGGAAAAATACTCACAGCGTACGTTTAGGAAATAACCGATACTGGTGAATATGCCGAGCATGTGCCTGGTGTAACATTTGTACCAGCCGCTCTCGGCGCGGCTGATTTTTGTGAAGTTCAGCCATCCGTCGTCGCTCTGCTCGACGGGTGGTCCATTGTCTGAAACACAAACAGAGAGGCTGTATGGTACGGGAATTAACTCGGTGGAAACATCACGTCGTCCGACCGAACCGGCGGCGATTCTACGCGCACGTTTCTCGCGCGGAATCGCGCCGTGCCCCAACCCGATTAACCGGCATCGCGTCGTTGGTATTACGCGGTCGACGCTGGCGCGACGCCAACACAGGCCTCGTTATTGTCTTTCGAAAAATCTCTGTACGCGCGGGATTACGCGCCAACGATTCGAAACCTGCGATGGGGCAAGGGGATGCTGTTTCGAGGGTTAAGTCGCTGGGAACAGGTAACCTCGTGTAATTTTACTATTTGCTATATAGGAAGCCATGGTAAATAAGAAAGTCTGTGCAACTGTGATACTTTTAGAGCGAGTACAAGAGAAACTTGCGTACTTTTCGTACTTTCCTAGCAACGAACTAATCTCACGTAGTCGTAACATTTTCGGTGCAAGGTTTAGTAATCGAGCGAAATCTTATAATTTCGATGTTTGAATTGCTGCTATACGCTGGTATATCGCAGCAAGCGTATCTCGGCAAACTAGCGCTGTCTCGTTTTCAATATTGAACGTTTTTATCCGGAACGTCGAAAAGAAATACGAAAGGATTAATAGAAAAATTAGTTACAAAGATTGAGAGCAATTGCATGAATTTCTATGGAAGAAATGTATTCTCATAATATACTACGCCACGCCAGGTTAAAGATATATGTCGAATGGAATATGAAATTGGAATTAGTAGAAGCATAAGTCGTGGACGATGAAAATTGACCGGAGTACCGATAAATCAAACTACCCAGCAATTCCACCTATCAATAATCCCGATTAAAACGAACGGCCATGATAAATCTTCGGACGCTACAACCCTTTCGTGCAGCCGGAACTTAAAACTCAGCGATCGTATCGATCGTATTTTCGTTAATCAAATTAGTACACGCGACTCGGCTATCTTCCTCCTTGCGAGTAGGCGGGGCGCGGCGGTACGATAAGAAACAAACAAAAGTGAACCGCGAGGATCTACCGCGGCTCGGCTTATTCGAGCGAACGAGTAAAACAAAGAAGCCGAGGAAAAGAAAAAGGAAGCAAGGAAAAAGAAGCGGCATGAGAATCCGCTGGTATCCGTTTCGCGAAGTCGTTCGCGAAACTTTCATCCGGCCATAGGCATTTCGTTGGCTCGTTGTTTTTATCCCGCCCACGATGCGATTTGACGAAAAGCAGGATTCGACGCAGCTGTCGGATTTACTGCTAGTTCTCTGTGCTACGTCCTGAATGTGTAACAACGTCGACCAACAGAAGCACAGAGATGAAAAAGGAAGAAGGGTAAGTTTGCTAACGGCCGTGGCGAAAGAAACCGAATCGAAAAGAGAAAGAAAAAGAGAGAGACGAGGAAAAAAACATTCTCGCGTGTATACTCCTCGGTCGACGAAGTTTTCTGACGAAACTTTTGTATGATCCGGTATAACAGTCTTTGGTGGTTGAAACTCGGATGGTTCAGAGAGCGGATCACCACCGACTGTCTCGTTAAACAGCGAGGTCGTGCCGTTGCCAAAACACGCTCGATTGTGTTAACGGGACCTATAGGCTGGGAAGGACTAGCAAGATGTCGTGCTATTTTCTATGAAATAAGAGCGGCCCGTGACTTGGCCCGCCAAGCACCATATATCCGGTAGGGTTATGCGGGATTCCGGCTATTTGGCTCGGAAACAAACGAACCGTGTTTCAAACCGAGACAACGCAGAGAGAAGCTCCGGAAAACGGATAGAGTGGGATATTGGCGTGGAACGGTCGGACAGAGTATTTGGTATAACGTAGAGCGTTTGTTAATTTTGACGGGGTCTAGACCACGACGTTGCCAACTTATCGAATACTTTGAAATAGTTTTACTCGAATAATTAGTTTGATTGGTAATGAACGGTACGATGCATGGAGAGTGAAATTGAGATATTTATACAAGGTGTACCATAGTCGATAGTTGAGGATAATTGGTAGAACGAGGTCAAGATTTGCGGATTGCTTGTTCGATTTGCTTGCCGGGTAAAAACGATTAAGATTCTCGAGATCTTACGAGAGAAAAGAAATTAGGATTGTGAGATTTTGTTCGAGTAAAATGAAGTGGAAATAAGATTCGAATGGAACGGAGTTAAGTGAAATAAGACGAGAATAAGATTTTTCACGACTCGAACGAACGTCGGTGAGTAATTCTACTCGGCACGCTTTATAAAACGAGATATTCTCGTCTAAGCTCGAACAGCCGGCTATTAGTTGCGCGGAGGAAGCAACGCAGATTGCGTTTTTTGCACGCTGTTCGAATAAAAAGTAGAAGAACGATCGCGAAAGGAAACGTTCCCACGGAGACGAGTTTACTCGAGGTTTACTCGTTTCTTTGCCGTGTGCAATCATTCCTAAAAAAAAGTGTTGCTCGACTTTACCGTTCCGGGTGCGTCAGTTAGCCGATCGAAAAACTTCGTCAACGTAAATACCGACCCGTTGCAGTGTCCTCGCTCGTTCTAAGACTATTTGAAATAATTTTGCTAAAAAGAGAATCATCCGTTGTTAACTCGCTGAAAGGAACATTTACCATCGATTGTAGCAATATGGAACCTATATAGGTCCTTAGAGAACTCCCTTAGACGAAAAAGTTGCAGAAAAATTAGCCACAAGACTCGCGATATATAAAATTTGGACCTAAACTCATCTAAAATAAAACGCGAAAACATTTTCAGAGAACTCTATCTCGAGTGTACCACTGCTGCTTCAAAAAAAAAAAAAAAAAAAAAAAAAAAAAAAAAAAAAAAAAAC